AATCACCGGGAGATGGCCACGAACAATCACCAACTCGTGCCAATCCTCCACCGCTGCACCAAGCCATCTAGGTGGTGGCAACCACCAAGAGCAACAAGTGAATCCCGCAGTGAAACACAAACAACAAGTGCCTCTAGATGCAATCACTCAAGCAATGCACTTGGATTCTCTCCCAATCTCACAAAGATGATGAATCAATGATGGAGATGAGTGGGAGGGCTTTGACTAAGCTCACAAGGTTGCTATGTCAATGCAAATGGCCAAGAGAGTGAGCTTGAGCTAGCCATGGGGCTTAAATAGAAGCCCCCATAAAATAGAGTCGTTGGCTCTCTGTTCTCTGAAAATTTGGGGCGCCCGGATGCAGGACCCCAGCGTCTGGTCGCACGATGCACGCCATGTGGCCCCTGCTTCAAACACTGATCACTCGATCTCAATGGTCATCAGTACATTTAAGTTATGACCGAACGCGCTGCTCAAAGTTACTAGACGCAGGACCACAGCGTCCGGTCATTTCCAGTAAGGTTCTAGTCACGACTGGACGTGTCCGGTCACACCCGACCGGACTCACCTAGCGTCCGATCACTCTCCCTCTTCTCTGTGCGCTGCCACTTCAGCATGACCAGACACTGAATAGTGTTCAGCCAGAGTCCGGTCACTTTCCAACTCAGCGTCTGGTCAAGAGACCGAGGGTAGACTTCACTGTGTGCCACTGACTGGATGTAGGACCCCAACGTCTAGGCACTGCATGACCAGCATCTGGTGAACTCTGTGAAACCCTATCTTTTCTATACAGGGCGTCGGTGGCACCATCGGATTGTCCGCACTCTACGGGCGGATACTCCACCGGTGAAGTTTCGAACCCTTGCTCCCAAGTGCTAAACACAATGTGTATCACCTTTCTGCATATGTGTTAGCATATTTTCACAAGCATTTTCAAGGGCGTTAGCTTTCCACTAGATCCTAAATGCATATGCTATGAGTTAGAGCATCTTGTGGCACTTTGATAACCGCATTTCAATACAAGTTTCACTCCTCTTAATAGTACGGCTATCAATCCTAAATGTGATCACACTCTGTAAGTGTCTCGATCACTAAACCAAAAAGCTCCTATCAATTTTACCTTTGCCTTGAGCTTTTTGTTTTTCTTTCTCTTCTTTTCCAAGTCCAAGCACTTGATCATCACCATGCCATCAACATCATCACGCCATGATCTTCATTTGCTTCATCACTTGGAGTAGTGCTACCTATCTCATAATCACTTTGATAAACTAGGTTAGCACTTAGGGTTTCATCAATTAACCAAAACCAAACTAGAGATGTGAGGGAGAGTTCAGGGAAGAGCCAGGCTTGTCGGTGTCTCACCTCGATGAACATGAGCTTTGTACCTCAACGGGTATCATGGTAAGTGTTCATGATTCTTTGGTTATAAAAGTCTTTTGAATAGTTAAGCTAAACTTTTACTTGTTTCTGGGTTTGTTGTCCATCCCCATGGTGGATGCTCTAGTAGAGGGCTCCTGATAAAGACGGATCACCCTGATCGACACTAGAGTAGTAGTAGATAGCATAGACGTGGTGTCTAGGCTATATGCTACCTTCATTTGCCTCTTACTCTCCGGTTGAGGGGTAGGCAGCAGGTGGGGATAGCCCTGTCCATCCTTTGTAATCCCCCACGTTCGGGTATGACATAGAGCCATAGGCCGGTATCACTTGGCAGACCAGGTGTACGTTGGTGCCCAAAGTGAGCAAGTAGGAGTAAAGTTTATCTATCCTTAGACCCTAAAGCCATAGGAGTCCTCCTCTATCCTCACCAACTATCCTTGTGTTGTCCTTGGACAAATTACCTAGAAGAAGTACCTCCGTTCCCTATGGAAATACGATACCCTAAATACTTCTGGGTCAAAGCTACAACGATAATTCCGTATGCTTGCGGATTAATATCTGTAGACGTTAAGAAATACCAAGCTTTCTAGCATCGTTGCCGGGCAACTGTTGCTATTTTCTTTGAACCTAGTTCGTCCTCATATCTGTATCCTTTCTTTTTATAAAAACAAAATAGTTTTCTTTTTATCTTTTTCACCATGAACTCAGCTCCTATCAAAAATCATTCTGCTTCAAAGGGGGAGTTCTCTGAGCCACCACCAAAACCCAACCTTTCATCTAGCAGTGAACTCCACCATAGTTTAAAAGCTTTGGTTCGGGCACAACCCTTCTCAGGGCATGATAACAAAAACCCCTACCATCACCTGCTAGAATTCGAGGAAGTGTGTTCATGCTTGAGCATCTCGGGCATGACACATGAAACACTAAGATGGAAGTTGTTTCCTTTCTCCCTCATAGGGAAGGTGAAATAATGGTACACATTTGCCGTAGGAAGTACGAATTGGGACTAGGATGAACTTAAAGGCAAGTTTTGTCTTTCATTTTTTCCCCATGTCCCGTATCGGCTCTCTACCAAGGGAAATCCTTGACTTCGAGCAGAATGAGAAGGAGTCTATAGGTGCAGCCTGGGCCAGGTTTTCAATGTTAATACATGCTGGCCAAGACTTGTCGCTACATGATAGCGTGATCTTACATCTCTTTTGTTCAGGTCTTGACATAGATGCTGACCTATGCCTAGACGTGACTGCTAGAGGTCGTTTCACATACAAACCTATGACGGAACAAGTAGAATTCCTTGAAATCTTCATAGAAAGACACATTTCTTTCGTCATAAGAACCAAACGCCTTTAGGCGAAAGTCATGTCGAGTGTTGAGGAGTCCTCATTAGCTGAAACCAAACGCATACCATCCCTATGTTTGACTCATGAACCCTCACCCGAACCACAAACACCGAAGGAATGAGTAATTCAACCTTCGGAGTTCCATATTGATTTCAGGGATTATGGCAATACCTCGAGACACCATGGGCACGAAAAGCTTACACTTCCTTCTGAGGAAGATTCCCCAGGGTAGAACCATCAAAGGAATGGTTGTTGGAAGTGAAACATTCTTCTGAAGTAATTCAGATTCTTTCACCTTTCATGGCCATGCCTTGTTCGT